CGGCCGGGGGCGGGGCGCACGGGCGGGCGGCAGGGGGCGCTGCGCGCGGGGCGGGAGCCGGCCGAGCCTCCGCGCCCCTCGCCTTTGTGCCGCTCGGCGCCGCCGCCCTCTCCTTCCCCGCGCCGGCTGTGCGCCCCGGCTGGAGGGCGGGCGGGGGATCAAGGGCGGCTCCCGGGGGTCGCGGGGCGCGGACACCCGGCCCGGAGACCAGGCATCGCGCGCGGCGCTCGGAGCCCGGCCGGCAGCCGAGCGGGACCAGGTGGGTGACGCGCGCCCCCTTTGTGTCCGCATCTCGGGAGCGGGGCGCAGCCGAGGGGGACGGAGGGACGTGGCCACGCGGAGCCAGCCTGGGGTTCGCCCCGCGCCGGCCCGGCCCGGGTCCCGGGAGCTCGGCGCGGGGTGTGCGGTGCGGTCCCGCCGACTCCGAGCGGAAGGCGCCGCCCGGGCCGGGCCTGCTCCGCGGCGGCCTCAGGTGGGGACCTCGGGTCCCGCCTCCTCGGCCCGGGCGCGGGTCGGCGGGGCCGCGTCCCTGGTGCAACGGCAGGTCCCGCGGGCGAGGCGGCGGGCCGGGGCCGCTCCTGTGTGGGGGCCGCTAGCAGGCCGCGCACCCCGAAGTCTGGGAAGGGCGAACCGCCGGGGCGCGGGGGGGGGCGGCGGCGGGGTACCGGGTGTCCTGCGCTTCGCACATCCCTGGCCCAGGTGACCCCGGCCGCGTGCTTGCCGCTCGCCAAGCCTTCCCCAGCCGAGGGGCGCGTTTGGCGCTCCCTGCGGGTCTCCCCACTGTACCCCGCAACAGTGGCTGCCCTGTGCCGTTCTGGGCGCCCAGCTCGGGTCGCTTGTGCGAGCCTGTGGCTCGGGGTCATAGGGAGGAAGCGGTTACTTCTTGTTCCCTAATGATTTCCGTAGGTAGGTCTCCGATGGTCACCCCAAAAGTGTGCGTTCTTTCGCTGTCTTCCCCCCCACCCCAGTGATTTTAAAAAAAGAAAAAAAAATGTCCCAGCAACAACAGATGCCAGGTGGAAGGCGGGGTGAGGGGGGAGAGGTAAAGGTCCCAGGGGACAGTGCTGAGTGGGTCCTGCTGCCTGGGAGGAGGGGGTTTGGTCCCCGCACCAGAAAGAGACCCCATGTCTCGCTTTAAGCAGTTATGGGGAGGGAAGACCTTTCCCGGGAGAGGGGCCTAGGGATCTAGTGAGGTGAGGAGCCAGGGCTGCCTTCTGGGGAGAGGATCCCCAGCAGGTGACGTGTTTCTAAGTGCAAGGCAGAAAGTGAGGGGGTGCACGTGCTTGCGGGCTGTGGGAGTTCCCTGGAGGGAGAGGGAGGTCAGGGTCGCTGTGTGGGGGAGGGGGAGCTCGAAGGTGGGGCAGGGGCCAGGTGGCGGGAGAGGCACTGGCCAGCCAGAGGGAACTCACTGCTCGGTGGAGGAGGGGGGAGGGGACCGAAGAGGCACCCTGGGGAACTTGCCCAGGGGCCTGGCGCCTCAGAGCTCTATTGTATTCCTTTCCCCAGAGCTGATAGGAAGGACCTGGTCTTTTGCAGTTTTCTAGTGCCTTTTAAACTTGTTTCTATTATTTTTTAAAGTGCAAAAGGGATTATGAGGAGAGAGGTCAGATGGGGACAAATCATGAAATCTTTGCGTCCCAGGCTAACTTTGGTCTTGATCCTGAGGCGGGGGGTGGGGGGGGGCACGGATGGTTTTGGAGGAGGAAAATGAGTGAGCTGAGCCCTGTTTTAGAGGACTAAGGCGGCGTTGAGGGGAGGGGAGGGAGTGTGCGGAGTGTGCGCTTCAGGTTCAGACCCCCCCACTTGAGTGTGAGCTTCAGGATCGGACCCCCACACCTGAGCGCGAACTTCAGCCTCACCCCCCACACCTGTGCCGCTTGCTCCTCCGTGGGTCAGGCGTGGATTGAGATCCTCATGAGAAAATTGGATGCAAATAACTTTAATGGCATGGAAAATATCCAGGTTCAGCACAATTGGCATTTGGGAGTTTAGGTGTTTAAAGGGACCTGAATCTAATGTCAGTAGTCTTGGAAAGGGAGCCAGTGAAGGGTGAACTCACATGCTGGGGGCAGAGCTGCAGCTGTTGAATGAATGATGTGGCACGCCCAGGCGAGGTGTGGGTGCGGGGCTGAAAACGGGGCACTTCCGGATACATGTGTTTTATGACTGTGCTGCGTGCCAGGGCTGGACGCCTGGGCTGGACGGTGTGTGATCCCTGCATCAGGCCTTTTCTTGCGGTTTGAGACTTGGAAGGGACCTCACACACTGTTTAGGTGAAGCTGCTGACTGCCAGCCGCGGAACGTGCCACTCAGCACGGCCAGGCGCTGGGAGCCACGTTGCCTGTTTTTTCCACTGTGGTTCATAATTTGGCCTTGCTGCCTTCTGTTGTTCAGATTTTCCTCCTCTTGGGAGCCTTTCTCTTTGTGTCATATGCCGGAGGAGGCTGCCCTCGTAGCCTGGAAATCACAGAGCAAGATGGTCGCCACAGAGTCCTAAGTCAGCCCCCCACTGTGACCGTGAGGACACCGTGGACTCAGAGGAGAGGTCAGGGACTGCCACCGCACAGCGGGTTGTGGCTGGCCTGGCATCAGCCCTCCTCCAATGCACTTGAGCTAGAAAGGGTGGAGATGTGTCAGCTGCCTGGGGGTCTGGTCTGGGGGGCTGGGGCCACTGTGGATGCTGCCGAGCCCTCAGACTCTTCCAGGGTGTCCGGCCAAGCAAGGACCACCCCTGGATTCCTGGGGTGTGGGACAGCAGGGGCCGCCCAGAGGCCATGAACAGAGGATGCTTCTGGGAAGGTGGGCTCCATACTCACTGTGGGTAACGTCCTACCTTGGTGGTCCAAGGACCATGACGAAGAGGCCTTCCTTTAAGGCTAGAAGAGTCATTTGAGGTGGTCATTTCTGGAACCAGGCTCCTCTGTCTTCTGTGTCTGCATTACCGACACACGTGAATACCTTTTCTTAATTAGATGAAGAAATTAAATTGAAGCAACTGTTCATATACCTGCTGGGGATCCAGGCTGAAGGACAGAGCATGGACAGCGGTGACCCAGCTATGTGACAGTGGGCAAGTGTTGTAACCTCCCTGCACGGCCCCAGTTCCTTCCCCTGTAAAACCAAGGTGTCGGCCTAAACGACTTCCAATGTCCAGAGCTAAAAACGTGTCGTGTTGGAGGTCTTCAGGAGAGTCGGTGTTGTAGGACTACTCACCAAATGCAACATATGTGAGGAGTTTTGCAAGAACTGCTCTTGTCAAGGATGCTATGTTAAGAGGGGGCTTTGAAGAGGCTGCTTCGTTGGCCGTGAGAGTCACCATCTTCCTTTGGTTCCTGGAACCTAAAACCTGAATTGGGACGTGTTTCTGGAATGGCCTTATAAACACCAGAGCAGGGTGCTCTCTACTCTAAGGAGCAAGATGGCAAGCTGGGTGCATTGGAGAAAAGTAAGCGTGAAGAAACGTGTCAACTTCTAGCTTATCGTCCCCTGGTGTTTGGCACTGGGCAGAGGAAATAGCAGTGAACATGCAGCTGGCATTTCCCGCGTCCGGGTGCTGGTAGGACGTGCAAGGCCGTGGATCCGACTCGCACACGGCCCCGTAGGACAGGCACGCTACCGTCCCCAGCTTGGCATGTCGTTCAAGGCCACACACGGTAAATGCTGAACTCAGAGTCTTGCAGAAAAGATTATATTCCGTGACCTTGAGGAGGCCACCATCGGCGGGGTGGGAGCCAGCTCATTCACAGAACGTCCTAGCTGTGGGTTCGGTGTGCAGAGTGCAGTGGGGTGTGGGAGGGGCCCCTCATCCAGCCCCTGTGGGGAGGAGTGGGCCCGCCCGTTGCAGCAGTGACAACAGTGACGCGGGCTGGGACTTGGAGGATGAAAACCAGTTAGCTAGGCTAACTGGAGGGTCAAGGTCAGAGTCTGGACCTGGGAGCAGCAAGAAGCATCCTGGGGTGGGCAGGAAACTTACAGCCAGCACAGCCGGGTTGAGCCCTGAGGCAGCTCGGCCTCTGTCTTGCTCGTGGGTGGGCTTCTGTCAAGCGCTAGCTCAGACCAAGACCCTGGGTGTAACACAGTTGCTTTCATTTCTGGTATCTTTTGGAAGGTCACCCCAGTGTGGTTTTGGTTAGTTTTGGAGCCTCGGTCCCTCCACTTCCCATTTTACCCCCCAGTTCTGCTTGGTAGAGAGGGTTCAGGGCAGAGGAGAGGCACCACAGCAGCAACCATTGTTTTTACAACCGGGTCCTCTGTCTTCAGTCACCTGAGTGAGGCTGGCGTGGTTCCCCAGGCTGACAGCCGCCTGTGGCTGCGGCTGAGAACCTCGGAGCTGGACGTGCGCCCATGCCCAGGCTATGGCAGTGCAGGCTGCCTCGGGGGCCAGGACAGAGCACAGACCTGGGAGTGCAGGGGAGGGTTCCAGGTCTGGACAGTGGATATTGACAGTGTTTCTGTTGGGTTGTGGGTTAAACAGGGTTTTGTCTGCCCTCGGAATGCCTCTTACAGCAGGGTTTTCCTGGGATGTTTTTTGGCTTCCAATGGACTGGTCTTCAAGCAGTCCTTTGGAACATGGCACGTTCAGTGTTGGAGTGGCTGCGTTTTAAGGTTATCTGGAGGGAGGTGGGCTCTGCAGTCCACACCAAACAACAGGAGAGGCCTCTGCCACTTCCATGGACCTGTTAGCTACATAGACAGCAAGGGAGCTGCCCCTTTGTGGTCTCGCTACGTCCAGGACACCTGGGACCTGGCCAGTGAAGGGCTGGTGTGTGGTACTCCCCACCTGCCCTCTGTTGCTGGCTTGTCTGCCCAGTCTCCAGCATCCCACATGCCACCCCCTCCCCAGTGAGACTTGCCCATGTCCTCTGCAGACAGGGCAGCCTGCTTGTCAGAGAGGCTGTCACCGCCTCCCCCCCCCCCATCAGCTAGGGGGTGAGAAGTGACCGCTGTCAGGCGACCTCTTCCACCTCAAGGTAGAACATCCTCTTCCATGGGTGTTCTGAAGCCAGAATCAGTGCAGACTTTGTTTAACTTTTCGGGATGCTTTGTGTCCATCTCACCGGTGTCCCTCATCATTCTCTCCACTGACCTCTTGTCATCCCCCCACTGGGACACCTTTAGCAGCTCCTGCTGCCTGTGAAGTCACCAGTCTGCCCCTTGGTTGAGATTTGGAGAGTTTTCAGCACCTGGTTTCAGCCTGTCTTTCCAGCACTCATCTGTCAACAGCCTCCACACTCATGCCCTGGCACGTTTGCCCACCGT